CCACTGGAATCTCATCTGGTCCCACAGCTCTCCCATTACGCATCACGCGGAGAGCCCGAACCACCTCTTCCAAGCAAATGCGCCGGCAGTACACACGAGATGCCCCAGGATGTCCCAACTCATCAAGAACTAGCCTCTGGTCTCCTCCCGCATTTAAGAGTTCACTAAAGTACTCCCCCCAGCGTTTAGCCACCTTGGCAGTCTCAACTAACACTCTACCATCGCTGTCCTTCACGCATCTCACGTGGTCTAGATCTCGGGCCTTCCTCTCGCGCACCTTAGCAAGCCAGAACAGTGGATTAACACTGCCTTTCTCCTCAATATCCTTGTAGAGGCGTTCAAAAGCGGCATTCTTTGTCCTCGTTACCTCGTTACCTCTAACTTAGATATTGCATGCATAATGAAGAAATAAAGAATACAAGAATTCTTTTTTCTTCTGAAGATCAAGAGTTAGCAAATAAGCATGTAGCAAGTAGTTCTTACACAACCTAAAACATGGCATAGATTAATGATTACACAAAACATATCCATTATTGTCACAGAAGACTCGAACACTGTGTCGCAAGAACCAGTTGAAGGAATTTAGGTACCTTTTTAGACCTCATTCCACAGAAACCACTTCTAGTCATATTCCAGGTCGAACCCTCGGCTACATCTTTAGAGAGGTTTCCAGAAAATATTCCTATTGCAATTATTAAAAAAAAGGTTTTAAAAATAAAACAAAAGCATCACTTTCTTATTTATCGACAATGTATCTGGGTTTGCTGAATTTCGCCTCAAGGTTGCATGTGAAGCGCGTAAAATTGGGTCTCACAAATCAGAACCTTAATCTAAAATTAATGGCGTCGTGGCTGAATTAAGTAATGAATAATTGCATGGGGTCACTTGAATATCAAGAAGTAACTTGCCTAAGAAAAACTTCTCTTAGGTCTATAATTAAGTGAGCATAAACAGTTTTGTCAAAGACTAATCCCTCCATTTGAGGGTCGTGGTCTACATGGAGATCAAATTGTTGAAGAGGGGAACATAGACAACTACACAAGTCTCCTATGTTGGAAGAATGTCATACATGCTAACGCACCAAACTTGTTGCATATTTAGATTGTTTGAGTAACTCGCAAAGGCTTCGTGAATATATTTTTTAGTTTATCACTAGATTGGACAAATGACTGATTTCCTTCGAGATACTTTTGTCCCAAATAAATCACAACCAAACTCTATATGCTTAGTACTTTCATCGAAAACCAAATTTCAGGCATAATGTAAATTTTCTTGATTGTCACAAAAGATCAAGTTCATACTTTATATAGCTTAATTAATGTGGTAAATACTTTGACCAAATGAGCTCACATGTAGTCAGGGTCGTGCACATACTAACTTCAGCAGTGGATGTTGCAACTACGCTCACAATACCCAAGAGTTGACATTATATCACTCGGTAACCCTACCTAATGAGCAATTGAGTAAGCAAGTAAGCAACAGTGTCAATTTCACCCATGCTATATTATCATACGTGAGTCCTTTCCTACTAATCACCTGTCAATCCAGACATAGTGAGAAAAGGAAGAAAAACATTTTCTCGTCATAGTTTTGACTATCTTTTGATGGTCCGGACTTGGAGTAGGGACGTCTTTAAAAAAAATAGGAAAATCAGATAGAGGTTGGTGGTACGTTAAAAAAGGATGCTGACTCTCACAATATGTAAAATGGAGTTAAGAAATTGAATAGAGTCATTAGACAAAGCTTAGGATACGGCACATAGGGTCCAAACATCATGCGGCAATGAACACGCATATTTTGAGCTGGTCATAGAACCTGGTCATGAACACGCATTTCCCAATAACCCAAACCCAACCTATCTTGTTTGCCAGCTCAACTGAAAAATACGGAGTAATCAACACGCCTTAAAGCAAAGGAGTCTGAATATGAGAGAATCAGCACTTTGTGTATACATTAGAGCCCAACGGTGAAAAGATTACACCATTCATAACATTCCATAAGAAAAACTATCATAATCCTCTTTGAGAGGGGAATGTTTATACACATACCAACAGAAGTAGATCCATTACTAGTACTTTTTATCTCTAGAGATGCAGATGACCGACCTGAAACATTATCAATAGTTTATATATTCGGATATGAGTCTAAAGTAACAATGGCATATAGTAGAATAGTGAATTTTAATTGAAACTTGGTCATTGTGCAATATGAACAAATAAATTCCAATAAAACACAAATACTGGAAATAGTTGATACAGCTGAGCATGAGGCCAAAAGCTCATTTATGCTCATCTATACAGTAAAAAGAATATGAAAATAGAGTATCAATCTTGCCTGCTAGACTAGCACATGTATTTTAAGCAATACAAAAAGAGGATATAATATCATCCAAGTAAATGCACCTCCATATTCAGAATCTGAATATAAATGCCACCTTTTCAGTTCATCCTTTGAGCTGAAATTGAAAATATATCTTTCACTTGGAGGAATTAAGTCTTCCAGGTTCCATGTGAGTGCTGCATGTTGTAGGATTAAACAACAAAATTATGCTTGTTATGATAGCCAGAAAAACAAATGAATATTTGTATGCATGTGACAACTAATCAATGGTGGGCATAGGTTGGCTTAGTTGTTAACAGAACCCAAGGGCGAAGGCCTAACCAATTTGTTGCAATTGCAAACCAAACCAAACTAGTGATTATGTTTAACAAAACCACATTATTGTAGGTATGTTTGTGTAATTGGGACCTGGGATGCAAATACATTTTTTTTTTTTGCGAATTGAAATCAATCCATAATAAGATTAACCGACCCAAATAATATACATTTTTTATATATATTACAATGTTATGTACATTATAACCCTGGTTTTCAGGTAATGTTCTATGGCATTTGAGTCGTTAAATCTAATTTTGAACTAAAACGGAAGACAAAGAAACAACTAGAATGTGTAGTCATCTACTTATCTAAGGTTTGAGATGAACTATAATAGTATTAAAGGGATTACTTAAGTACAGCACCAACAAAGACAGCATAATCTAGGAGGTCAAGATGTAAATCACTATACTCATGTTTCTCTTAGACCCTTGATGCAATGTTGCATTAAATGCCCAAAACTTCATACAAAGTAAGAGGCGAGGAAGTTTGATGTGTCATTTTGATTAAGTCCATTATTTACCCAAAGCACAAAAAATGACTCATTTGGGTCTTGGCAATAGATGCAAACGGATTACTACAGTACAAAATTAAATCATCCAAATCTAATTTTGTACAATCATAATTGAAATTTGAAAAAGAGGATTAAATTGAAGTAAGCTCCACTGTTAAAAAACTTGAAATGCATGTAATAGTAAATGCTCATGGTTACATATGCATTAGTCTAGTATTTCTTTTTGGGTTGTCCAAGTGTATTCATCCCCTCCCCATTTTAGACAAAGAAATAAAGTTTGTACTCTCCCATTTACTCACTATCAAAAAGTAAGGATTGTTTAGACCCTTCTCCCTTTTCCTGTCTTCTTAGTTTATGTGCCAAAAAGAAACACAACCAAGACACGAGGATGGCGGGAGTATATAACACGTAAGTAAATTGGATTGGATGGGATTGGCTTTAGTTGGTTTTATTTACATCAACCTGCCAACCAAAACAAACAAAATTTTATAAAGAATTAAAACCAAACCCGCCCATTAGGTGCAGCCCACTTGGCGAACCCACACAAAATAGGGTTCGGAAAGGTTCATTTTGTGGGAAGGCAGCTGAAATGCTCACATACCACCAATAGGTGGTTCGTGATGATATCCAATTTACATGTACACCCCTCAACATGAGAAAGAAATAAAATGTGCAAAAGTCATAAAGGAGTGATACAACAACAGATGTCCAATCCCTAGAGGAAATTCTTTCCTACAGTAATATACTAATATGTATGATAACATTGCAATCTACTACAGCTTAGTGAGCCATTTCCTTTCTTGTCGGTGAACATATAAGATTTTTTTGGTGTGTAATAACAGTGCACTTAGTAACAACACATTTGTGGTTACTGAACACATATTTTTCATCGAATCAGCAATACATTTCTGAGTAGTGATTATAGCCCAGAGGCTAGTCTCCAGTTGTATTGTACTTTTGCATCTACGATTGTAAAGCAGAATAACCCAATTCCTAGAAAGTAAAAATACAGAAGCCACACTCATCCACAGTAAGCAAGGCGAGATAACAAAATAATCAGAGACGATACAATCTTTAACTTTTCAAAACTACTTCCCAACTTCACTTCACTTCAATAGTTGTTCTAATGACCATTTCCATCAGCCTAACCGCCTAAGTGTAAAAACCCATTAGCAGATGGGATGATAAGTGAGGGGGTTGTGGTACAGAACAAGCCTCAATTGCTAATCCAATGCATAAAGTGAAGCAATAAATAGTGGAAAGTGTTGTTATAACTTACCTCTTTTAGTTGCAGTAAGGGATGCTTGCAATAGTGAACGAAACTTATACATTTTAGTGCATTAGACTCCTCCACAATTTCTACGGAAATGGTCTACAAAGTCAAAAATGAAATATGAAAAATATTAACAATTACTCAAGATGTTCTCTTTTTTTCTTTTTGCTTTTTAAAAATATTACAGGGTACTTAATATTCATCAAATAATAAGACAATTGGAGATGGATACAGCAGATGAAGGAAAGTATGTATTCATCAAATAATAAGGACTTCAAATCAGAATTATACTCAGTATGAATCACTAAAAATAAAAAATTGCCCAAAATTCAATGAATCTCAAACTAAAATGAACAATAATACAGTTATACAACTCTGCAATCAGAAATTGCTCAAAATCGCATGAACCTCAAGCTCAAATGAACCGGAATACAAATCATACAATTCATACCAGTAGATCATTGAATCTGAAACTCTGAAAACTTGGTGCCGCTGTTGCGGCTGTGCGGGACAGTGGTGAAGCCGTATGGCGCAGCAGAAACTACGTCCCTACTTCCATTTTCCACATTTACTAAATCCTTCTAAATTCTTCATATTTGTTTCTGGCTTTTTATTTTTAATGAGTAAATTTTCAAAATTTGTTTGGATGTTGGCTGTCAGTTGGCAGTAGGGGTGGACACGGTACGGTTCCGGTACCGCCACCCCATGTCACTGGAACCGTCACCGTGCCGGCCGGTACTGGTTCCGGTTCCCGGACCGGCGGTTCCGGTACTGGACCGGCCGGCCCCCCTTCTTTTTTTTTTTGCTTTTTTTAAAATTTTTAAAGTATAAAATTGTAAATTTGCAATTGTTTAAGGAAAGAATGAAATAAAAAATCTAAAAATGTAGTTGTTATTTAAATATTTTAAATGAATAATACACTAACTGAAGAACAACCACATTTAATATCCTGACGGTTCAAAAAAAACGACGAGGTAAAGAACCGTAAAGAAACCCTCGAAGGAGCTTATATATCGCTCACCTAAAAAAACTAATTACATATCTACATTAACATAAAAAAATTATAACTTATTCTTCAGAACTCGGACTTCCATCTGTTGTTGCATTCATGTAATGCTCCGATTCGAGTAGGTACGATGACTCTTGAGCTCGACGTCTTGCCAAGAGCCAATCTTGGTTGCAAACCAGTGTTTCAAGAGATTCAGCGCTAAGACAACTTCGAAAGTCGGTTAGAATGTTGCCGC